ATTAAATAAAATTGTTTTGTTCTAAAGGTATGTATTTATCCCCTATGTACCCTGACTTCGTGGACACCCTGTATTTGAATTTATAAAGGCAGCCAAAATCAATGATGAAAAGGCATACTACTTAAGTAGTCATTGTTTTTACAATAGATACGTTTTGCTAGGAGTCGGAACGAAGCTCGTTAAAAATTACAATAGATACGTTTTGCTAGGAGTCGGAACGAAGCTCGTTAAAAAGCCGGTTACAATAGATACGTTTTGCTAGGAGTCGAAACGAAGCTCGTTAAAAAGCCGGCTTCCAAGAATACGTTTTGCTAGGAGTCGGAACGAATCTCTTTAAAAAGCCGGCATCCTATAAATCAATGATAAAAAGGCATACTACTTAAGTAGTCAGTTTTTACAATAGATCATTTGCTAGGAGTCGGAACGAGGCTCGTTAAAAAGCCGGCTTCCTATCCTGACGGAAATGACTTCAGAATACACTACACGATAATCAGTATCACATTTGAGGGTTACAGGCAGGCATTGCTCTTGATCACTTTAAGCGCATCTGTGATTACCAAATTTACATTTTTTAACCGAGCGCTAAGTTTGTAATCAAATGGCTCCTTCGGCCTAAAATATACAATTTATTTATTTAATGTAAAGTAATTATTGCATAGTTGCAGAGAGTATACAGCTGTACTCGAAGGGCAATGTACTTAGGTTTTAAAAAGGTTTCTGAACTCCAAACGAATGTTGAACCCGATACGCCGTTCAGATTGCGTTGAGGGTTCACGGCCTACAAAGCAGATCGGCGAAGCCCATACATCCATATATTATCTATTAAAAAAAGGAAATACTTTTCTATGTTATCGGAAAAACGTCATGTAGACTTCATAAACATTTACAACGGACGTGGACTAGCTTGCATTCTCAATAAGGGGCAAGAATAAACGGACACATACGACGCTTTCCCACTGCAGATTTTATAAGCTGACAAACTTCGCAAGCAAAAACATTTCAGAACAGGCGGATTCTTTTTCTTCAAGTTTAAAGATTCAAGGAGACGTAATTCGCTACAAAATGAATATAACTAAAGCTATGTCATATAAGATACTTTCACACCTAGAAGGCAGTCGAAAATCGTTTGAAAAAATGTATACGAATAAAGTCCTTTTAATTTAGTGAGGATTTTGCGGGTGACCAAAATGATGTGTACTTATCCGCCAAAATTCTGTTATGGCTCAAGTATCTTGATATTATGCCTTACGATGATTTATTATATTGAGGATAACATGCATTAGCTTTGATGGCCCTATTAAAACGGTATACAACAATAGTGAGGGTGAAATATATAAAATACATATATTTTTATAAGCTAAGGAATAACATATTCAAATGGGCACGTGACTTGAAGCAACAGAATTTACCCACAGTCCCCGTAAATGCCAGAGATAAAATTGTTAAATAGTAAGTATTAACTTCAGCTATAAGTGTACTCAAATCATTAATATATTCTAATACTGATTTCCTGTGCAGAGAATCAGTATAACAACCCCACTTAGGTAATCAATTCCAATCGACGGAACCTGCCAGGATTCCGGTTCAGTTCACGACATAACGGGTGGAACTGTGGTGGTCCTAACAATCCTCATCAACGGAAACCGTTATAAAACCTAAAGTAATATCTGAAAAGTTTAAAAAGCAAATATATGAAATATTTTAGCCTCTGTTGAGTCATTAAAGAGGAAATAAAGGCGCGAACTCGGAATAAATCTTTCGGAACCGACCTTTTCAGGTTCAATCCGAAACTTGATATGAATATAGGAGTTGAAAGCGACTAACTACCGTGATATAACCACAGAATATTCACAAACTATCAACAGTCATTAGCATATATTATGTGATTATTTACCATATGAAAAGCAAAGATATTAGCTAAAAGCACAGATATTCCTGTTTCGTGGATCTTATACAGTTGCCTGACGCAGCTGTGAGGAGTCCGGCTCGTCGGTGAACTATAGTTTTCTTCGAATGTAGAAGTGAAAGAGAAGGTGATCCGACACTAAACGTGAACAAGGCAGCCCACATAAAAGTGTTCCGGCAGGTCTGTTTTCAGATGTCCTAGTTGCATTTGACTTATAATACTAACCTGCTTCTACATTTTCAATAACCCTACTTTCTGTTTTTCCGTTCAGTTTCGCAAATATAAGGTCGAATTCCCTTTGTTTGTTAAATTCCACAAATATAAGGTCGGGTTTCCTTTTTTGTTAAGTTTCCCCAATATAAGGTCGAATTTTCGTCAATATGCATCAGTTTCCTGAGCAACAGGAGTGTACGTTGGTGAAGTTGATTTTATTCAGCTCAGTAAAACAACTATGAACGGTCTTGATGTAATATTCACATGAGCACATTCAACACAATTACACATTCATTTACAGTCGTTATCAAATAATTAAATGTTTAGTCACCAATTTCTTAAGACATTTGGGCGGGAAAAAAGATATTTAGGCGGTCCTACAAACCAGTTTGCCCATGTTTTTATAGAATCAGTTTTAAGTTAAAAGGGTTGCTAAAACCCATAGGAGGATTTCACACTATCTATATAATCATGTTCAGTTATTGCAGTTTTTGTAGGTTAACAAGATGTGCGCCTAAAAGCCGGCATACTGCTCCACGATTAACGATATTACAACCCCGCTTGAGTAATCATTCCTAAACTAAAGCAGATTTCGGTTAACATTTCGTGAGATTGTTCACTGACTGTACAGGTTATATGACAGTTCGACCATCGGTTTCGACGAGGTCCACTATATGCTCCAAGGCAGGGATGTGCAGGAATAGTGCCTGGCACATGGGTGAGTTGTAAGTGATTGTAGACTTGCGTTGCATCTACAGCACACTCCCTCTTTCCTCATTCATCTGTGTCTGAGTGTCAAGGTAGTGTCAAGAAAACTGGAGACGGGATCGGACGCAGGTGGCTGGCGTGGCATGAGCCTGCACCTACGCACTCGACTACGCACAATTGAATGACCCTGGTCAGCACCGTTAGGACTAACTGACTGCGCGAGTCTTCAGCTGTTCGACAATGCGGTCTTGGCGGATCGACCCCTAAATGCTGATGGACGCACAGAGAAGCACACAACT